TTCTTGAAAATTATGGCCACTGGGAGGTTCCCCTTGCCCCAGTGAATGACCTACATCCATGCCCATATGAACAACACTGACTGCTGTTGGACTGAGTGGGTTAAAAATTATCTAATTAATTAGTTACAGAAGGAGGACATGAAGTTGGGAAGGAGATATCGTGGGGATGGGAGGGGGAGATCCTGTGGAAGAGCTAGGGTAAATATGATCAGGATACAGGTGTGAAACTTCCAAAGAATAAATAAAAATTAAGGAAGTTGACGGTTAACAGTCAATAACCAAAACAAACTTTTAACTAAGAAAGCATCCTAAGACCTGGATTTAATTCTGGGTGCCACTCAGGGCAGACTCTTCTTACAACACAAGGATAATTTTACTCCTATCCACTGTATTCAAGTATTCACTGAAGAAAACCAAGGTTCCACTACAGATTTGGCTAAGGACTCAATAAACATAATAGTTAACACGGTCCCTGCCCTGAGGAGCTTTAAACCTTTCCATCCAGAAGGCTGTCCTGAAGTTCAAATGAACACATATTGCACTGCAAACTGTAACACACCACAGACACTGATTATCATCATTTGTCTCTTAACCATATATCTTTGCTGCATGACAACAGCAAAATCCACTTAAGTAGGTACAATTGGACAGACTACTTGGTGAGGAACTGTCTTCCCCTTAGTTTGGAATTCAGGAGCTTAATAAATCACTATGTGTTAGCAAAGTCCTAGCTAGTGGCTCCCAGTATAACCATACTGATAAAGCACACTGAGCTGAGAACAACCTAGAATAGTCCATTAACTATCATGCTGTTCAGGAAATGTGGCTTAGCATGTGACTTCCATTCCCTATACCTGGCAAAGGAGTGACAAAGATTTCTAGTCTTATGCAAGACCCACGGAATCACAGCCATTAAAGATTAGTGTGCCTGCATCTGTGATTCTGGCTAGGGCCCCAAGTGAGCCTCATGCATATCAAGTGTGAGGACTTTGCCATAAGCATTCCCTTTGCTCAACAGTCATTTCGATCATTATTATCCACGTCTAGCCGGAAAATCTGAACCAAAGAGGGAAAAATCCGTCAATTCTTTTATAAAGGTTCTTAAGAAGACACTCAATGTCTCATGACTCACTCAACTGTAAAAAACATTATCAAATTCTTTGTCAAATTATTTTCAAAAATTCACATGAAATTAAACAAAAAATGACCCTCAATAAACAAACTGCACAATATAATTTATCTTATGTTTTAACCTTAACAAGGAAAAGCTGATAGATATATTATTAGGTAGCTACTAAGAAGAGAAGCATATACTGTCTAGCATAAATACATGATGATTTTTGAATGCTAACAAGCCAAGCCTTAAGAGTTTGTACTTGAAATTCACACTCTCCAGAGCAGGTTTGGCAGGTAAAAGTACTGGCTTGTGCAAGCCTGACCACCTGAGTTCGATTCCTGGAACCCACTTAAAAGCTGGATGCACTAGGAGAAACATTTTTAACCCCAGCCACCCTTATGGGGAGAAGGTAGAGACAGGAGACTCCGCCCTAACTTAGAGAACTAACTCCTCAAAGTGAGTCCTGTGCATGTGTGTGCATGCGCATGCACGCGCACACACACAACACACACAAAGATTCCAGGATCAAGTCAAGAAAGGCCCACAAACACAATCTCAAAAACTGTAGGCTGCTCCATACCCCACTGCAAACAGCAACTCCCAAAGGCAACTCTCAGGAACCCAAGTGTCCTCAGGCCTACTTCAACCTTATAGAGATTAACCTGAAGTCAGTTATCTCACATACCATATAATCAGTGCAAAGATATATTTATTTTGGTTCTATTTGTTGAAAGCATCTTTCATACTCTGGCCTCAAGGTACATGCACATCAAAGGGAAGGCACGCAGAACACATTACACTGGGAAAAATTACAAGGTGGAGACTAAAAGTGTTAGTCAAGAAAACTTTCCATCTGTATAAATTTAGAGCCCAGAGGGCTTCTTCATACTGTAGTACCAAGCCCTGCAACATGACTCTAGCCAACCTTGAAAGGAAAAAGGAGAAAGTGAGCCAATACTGGCTCCGTTGAGTTTAACAATTACCCAGGATTCAGTGAGCCTCAGTAAGCAGACTCTGAGAGCAACACAAAGAAATGGCTCCTCTTGCTGACGGTCAAGTCTCGACTCACTCACGTCGGTTACTGCTCTTTCTCACCTCTACCAGTTGTCCAAACAAGTGCAACAAGACAACTGGAGTAAGAGCTGTCTGCACATGGGAAAAGAGTTTAAAATAGGGAGAAATCTCAAACCGCAATTATCAAGGCCCAGACACCTGCCTGTGACTTGGTACACAATGAAAAAGCTATACAGTAATAATCAACCTATCCCCAATTCAGACCCCATCACCTTTCATCAACATGAAAAGCTTTACTGGAACAACTGAAAGGTTAATTAAGAACTTGGGTAAGACAAATTGAAAAGCTAAGGCTGGGAATTGTAGTTCAGTCAGTAGAATGCTTGCCTAGCAAGCATGAAGCCCTAAATCCCTGGGTTCCATCCTCAGCACAACATAAACCCAACAAAGTGGCAAAGACCTGTAATCCTAGCACTCAGCAGGTGGAGGTTAGGACGACCAGAAGCTCAAGGTCTTCCTAAACTACATATAGAGTTTGAGGCCAGCCTGGGCTACATGAGACTCTGCCTCAAATATATAAATAAATCCCTAAAGTTAGTGGCTGACTTTTTTCTCCTCTTACTTGAAAAATCTAAGGAAATGGGAAAGTTATACAGAAGTCTCAGAAGTTATAAACTAGCTTAAAATTGCTAGTTACTTTCTATTACTTCTACAATGGTACCATAGTTTCAAATAATTTTGAATTTTGAAAAAGAGTTTTGAATCAGAATACGAAAAGCTGAAAGGGTACAAAACCAATACCATGAAGATTGTTTTATCATTACCAATCTTCCAGAAAGAATGCTCTAGGCAGTATTTCTTTTCCCCTGCCACCAAAAATTACAGAAATTTCTCTCACCACCAAGGACAGTACCAAAGACATTAGCTTCTACTTCCTAGGCTCCTGTTCTCTCACAGGGACTACAGGGTCTCTCAGATCTTCTGTGCAATGACCCGCTTACAGCTGGGGTCTCTACTGCAGAATGTAGTAAGAGTAAAAAGCGTAAACACTCATGGTAGACAATACTAGCTGTAGTTTCATCGCTTTGAATCCTATACAGCAAATGGCCTAGAACTTTAATACACTTATAACTTTATATATTTTAAAACTAAAAATAAAGAGCTGAATCAAAGTTAATTTCCAAAGGGAAAGCAAAATGACAATTCTAAAAGTTTCTATCAGAAGAAACCATCAGCCCCAACTTTTGAGTTTTCTAAAAAATAAATACCTAGTACCCAGTTAAAAGGCATCAAAGTCATTACTGTATTCAGTATCTTAATGCTACCCACAAAGACTAAAAATATACTACCAGAAAATATTAGAAAATAGCCTGTAATATATTAAAACAAAACAACAACAAAAAAACCCAAATGCATCTCTTTCCAGAAAGGTCAGAAGAATGTATAAGCTCTCCAAACTCATGCATCAGTGAGCGACTCTTTCTTGAAGTGGAAATTATTAGGAAACAGAGTAAGAGTAATGGGCACAAAAATGAGGGGGTGGGGGCTCCTCTACAAAGACAGACTTTCAAGATACTGTAAGTGCAGCCTTACATGAATCTGTTTTACAAAATGAAAACAGACAGCTGTGGAACTTACAATTAAAATAAAATGCTTAAAAAGAAGAAAGACTTCTGTGGGTAAAGTCCATCATGGAAGGCGAGAGCCTGTGTGGTGGTGGAATACAGTACAGACGCAGTAAGGAGAGAAGTCCAGGATTGAAGGGGAATAGAGACAGTGAGCGCACACAGCACCAACGAGTCAACTAACAACCACGATACAAATTTAGGGCAAAGTACAAAATCACAACCACAACACAGCTTAGGGCAGTGGAGGTCTGCGTTCAAACTGCAAAGACAAGATAACATCCCTGGAGCTTTAAGCGAGGTAGTGGTGACAAGTGAGCTTGAACAAGTTCCATGAAGGAAGACTGCAGCAGAAGATGGGTTGCAACAACAGAAGGGGCCTTAAAAAGAGAAGGGAAAGAAAGCTATGTGGAGGAATAAGATAAAGTGTAGGATTGCAACAGCACAGAGCAGGAAGAAAACGGAGAGGCAAAGACCTGAGGCGATTGCGGTCTGGGGGAAGTAGGAGCTAGGAGAGCACTATTAAACCAAACTCCAAGGTGTGAGGAGTGGTGCACGTGGGGAGTCGGGAGCCAGAAAAGGGTCTACTTAAAAGCTATGTGGCCATGGAGAACCTAGCTTGAAAATCAGGCTGCAACCCCTCCCCCAAAATACGCATGCGATAAGGTATACTCGAGATGGTATGACTACAAAGAAGAGGGGAGAAAAGGCCAAGTGGTAGATGCAAAAATGTCGGTGTGCTTTATCATAACGGGGAGTAACTAAGGGAGGGGTGGTGGTGGAGGGTTAAGGTGGGGAGAAATGATGCCTCCAGAGGAAAAATGAGCTGACCACAGGTCCCATCGGGTCTAGAGGGCAGAAGGGGCAGTTCACAAGGTCTGAGGGGAGTGGCAGAGACCAGGAAACTATGATGCTAAAGATAAAAAGTTGGAGAGGACACAGTACTGGCTAGGTCGAAAAGGAGACTCCCTCAGCAAGAGGCAGAAAGCGGCATGCTTTAGAAGGCAAACGGGTTGAGAGCAGCCAAAGGCATGAGGACAGCGAGAGAGCACTGGGATGGTGGACAAGAGCGCAAACTGGAGACGCCAGAAAAGCAGGAGGCTCCAAGCCGGGCCGCGAAGGCCCGCGGGGGGCGAGGGTCGCGGCAGGCTCTCGAGCTAAGAGAGGTGCGGCCTGGGTGACAGGGTGCGGGGCCAGGACAGGCGAAGGGTAGGAGGACGGGGCGTGGCGGCCGCGATACTCACACCTCCAGGATGCGGTCCCCCTTGCGCACCCCGGCCCGGTCGGCCGCCCCCCCGGGCAGCACGGCGCTCACATGCTGCAGCGGCGCGTACAGCTCCCCGTTGATGCTCCGCAGTTGCCCGCCCTCGCTCACTTGGCCCCGCACGTTGAAGCCGTAGCCGGATTCGGACTTGACAATGCGCACGACCCGCGGGCCGCCGCCTCCCCCGCCACCGTTCCCGGCGCAGTGGAGCCCAGACCCCCCGCCGCTGCCTCCATTCCGGTGCGGGGCTGAGGGGTGAATCCCTTCCCCGTCCTCGTCCGCCATCTTGCGAGCAAGCGAGCGGTCCCCCGCCCCCCTACGCCTCCACTCCTCCTGCGCGCGCCCGCCCCCTTCGGCTGCCGCGCGACCCCGGCGCGCGCCCACTCCGCCGACCGCTGGAGCTAGTCAGCCACCGCGCTGCAGGGGGGGGAAGGGGGAAAAGGGGAGCAAGGCGGGAGAAGCAGACGGTTGGGCGCTGCAGGGCCTCCTGGGAGATGTAGTTCTGCGAGTGATGCATAACGCATCCGGGTTCAAAGCCTTCTGGGAGTTGTGGTTTATTGAGCTTTGGCCTCTGGTTGAGTTTACTTGGTTGGTTGTATGGTGAGCATCTTCTTTTGTTTTGTTTGTTTGTTTGCTTGGTTTGTTTTGGTTTTTTTCGAGACAGGTTTTCCCTTTGTAGCCCTTTCTGTCCTGAACTAGCTCTGTAAAGCAGGCTAGTCTCAAACTCAGAGATCCACCTGTCTCTGCCTCCTGATTGCTGGGATTACAACTGACCACTAGTTGATGATTCATTGCAGTCTTAAATTGGTCATTCATTTGTATATTCATCTTGTACGGACGCCCCAGCAACCAAGTTATACAACCAGATCGTGAATTCGGTTCCTTATTTCAAGTATTAGGAAACGGAACTTTAGCCAGGCAGTGGTGGCGCACGCCTTTAGTCCCAGCACTTGGGAGGCAGAGGCAGGCGGATTTCTGAGTTCGAGGCCAGCCTGGTCTACAGAGTGAGTTCCAGGACAGCCAGGGCTATACAGAAAAACCCTGTCTCGAAAAACCAAAAAAAAAAAAAAAAAAGGAAACGGAACTTTAGCGTGGCCAAAGTCAATCAGCAATTATGCAATAGGATTTAAAGCTCAACTATTTTTGCACAACTTTCTTTTCTATGTATTGAAACTTCACAGCTATATACAGACATACAAAAAAGCATGTGTGTAGGGAAACAACAACCTCCATGATTTAGAACTGGACATTAAAGTGGTCAATAATTTCAATTTAGCATGAGTTTTTAAGTTGCTTTTAACTCATTTATTTCATTTCTCCCAATAGCACTAGAGAATTCTTTGAAAACATGCAATCGATGTTTTTGGATATCTACTGAGATATAAACTTGATGGTGCTGGATGCCTGGTGACAGCAAGTAAGGACAGAAATGATGCACATAGCAAGCTAAGCATTCACTGCTCCAGTCTGGTGTTTGATTTCCCCCTACTGGTAAGGTCACTAGTTAATTCATTCCTGTTTAGTAGATGCTGTAGAATACACAATGTTCCACAAAGCAAAGACAAAGGAAACAGAATCAGCTTCTACATGTATCATCAGTTCCTCCCCACCAAGCACCATGTAGATAAAGAGCTCTGATGAATGGTGTTCCCCTAAGGTGCCTAAGATGCACAGCTTCGAAAGGTTGCCATTCTATAGAAAGTAAACTTGTTCTTTGTCCTGAAGGGAGACATTACTTCATCTCCCAAAGCCACATCTTAACACAACCCCACAACCCTGAGAAATAACCCAGAGATAACCAGCCAGGAGTCTGCCTTCTTAGCATCCAGCAGAAGATGAATAGAAGCACCAAGAACTATCTTTCTCAACACTATTATGTACCAAATCTTTACATCTGTAGCTCATTAACTCTTTACAACACTAGCACAGTCCCTATTCTTTAGCTGAATAAAGATACAGGGAGAGGTTACAGGAGGAAAAAATCACGAACCTAAAAGAAGCAGTAGGACAGAAGAAGCAGTAGGAGGATTAAGAGATTTCGAAACATACTGAATGGAGACACAAAGTCACTACCATATATATGAAGGTTTAAAAAAAAAAGAGGTTTGAGTTATAACAAAAAGAATAAAGGTGACCTTGTTTCACAACAAAACTGATGAAGACTCTTGGTTAGTTTTGAAATACTGAAATAATAAAGATGAAATAAGTTTTGCTTCAACATAATGATGGAATCTGGTTTGGACATGAATCGTTTATTTTGAATTGAGTACTAGATGGAAATAACTTGCTGCTAAAAGAACTAGTTGTTTTTGGCAAGCCTGCATCTTTAATCCCAGCACTCAGGAGGCAGAAGCCAGCCCATCTCTGTAAGTTGAGGCAAGCCAACCAGGAGCTAGATGCTAATATTCTGTCTCAAAAACAAAAACCTACTTGTCTTTATTTCTTTCTTTATTTAAAAATATACTGAAAGTGGGAGGGCTGGAGAAATGGCTCAATGGTTAAGAGCACTGGCTGCTCTTCCAGAGGTCCTGAGTTTAATTCACAGCAACCACATGGTGGCTCACAACCACCTGTATTGGGATCTGATGCACTCTAACATCATGCAGGCATACATGCGAATTGAGCACTCATATACATAAATTGTAATGTACTTATATATAAATACATATTCTTACATATATATATATATATATATATATATATATATATATATACACTGAATGAGGCTAACAGTGTCAGCCAGTAGGTAGACCATTTGCCTTTAGCATGCAGGAAGCCTAGCAGCATATAAACAAGATGTGGTGACACACTCCCAGCACTCAGAACATAGAGGTCCTAGGAAAATCAGAAGTTCAAGGTCGTCATCCTCAGCTATATATCAAGTTCAAGGGGAGCCTGGGCTATAAGAGATCCTTTTTAAATATATATTTTTTCAGTACATACACACACAACACACAAATATATACATATGTGCACACATACCCACACGGATTGAATGGACATTCTGTTCTAGGCTTTTTAACAATGGTGAGAGACGCACACATAAATGAGATACCTACAGATTACAGTTTTGGGTAGTCAAACTGCACCTGCCCTTCATGCTGCATCTTCATTCCTCAGAGTCCGTTTCCACTCACACACCTGGGCAATAACACTTTTGTGAAGGTAAGTCATTGCAGTATTGTTTATACTCACAGTAGCTTGGACTAACAACAGTCATTGGGTAAAATCCACAATGGAATGAATCACTTTAAACAAACAAACAAAACCCAAAGAAGCTCTTCGTGGTACGACATGAAGTGAGCTCACAGGGATTGTGCACAGCGAAGCGAGAGTAGGACAGAGCACAGACGTAATATCCTCTGTGTATAAATGAGGAACCGTATAGCTCAGTATCTTTAGAAATACAAGAAACTGGTAGCATCGATTGCTGCTAGGAAGGGATTCTGGACAGCTGGGCTGGGGACAGGAGTAGGAGAGAGACTTTTCTCATTTCCTTAACTCTTCTCTAACTTTCAAACTTTCAGTCGAATGAAAACCAATAAGGGGAAAACCAATAGCTCAATGGCACGGTGCTTGCCTAGCATGCAAGAAGTCCTGGGTTTCAGCTCTCACACCACTGAGTATCACACCAATGCCAGGACTAGGCAGATGGAGGCAGGAGGATCTGAGGTTCAAGGTAATCTAGGCTGCTAAGCAAGCTCAAGGCCAGTCTGGCTTGGGGACGCTGACTTATTTTAAAAGCCTAATTAATTAGCTAACTAAATGAGCCAGCAATGAGGGTTTACACCTGTAATCCTAGCACTTGGAAAAGAAAGGCAGGAGAGTTATCACAAGTCCAGAGTGAGATCTTGCCTCAAAAAGACATAATTAATTTTAGAAAAGATCAAACTGAAAGACAAGGTGGGCATATCATAATAATTAGAAAATAAGGGCCAAGGTGATTGTTCAGTGGTAAAGGTGCCTACAGCCAAGCCAGCAACCTGAGTTCTCTCCCTGGGACACCAAGGGAACCACCTTCACAAGATGTCCCCTGACTGAGACACACGCAGAAAGAAATGTAATCTAAAAATATGTTTAGCTGGGCGGTGGTGGCACGTGATTTTAATGACAGTATTTGGGTGGGCAGAGGCAGGCCAATCTCTGTGAGTTTAAGGCCAGGCTTGTCTACAGAGAGAGTTCCAGGACAGCCAGTGCTACACAGAGAAACTTCCCTCAAAACAAAACAAAAACAACATGTGCAAGCATATGTGTGTGCGTGTATATGCTTATGTTTGTGTGAGTGTGTGTGTGTGTGTGTGTGTGTGTGTGTGAAGATAAGTTGCCAAGCCCATGCGGTGGTACATACATGTATTCCTAACACTGGAGAACTAGATTCAAGAGTTTTAGGCCGGTCTCACTGAGTTACTTACTGAGTTCAGGGCCAGCTTGGGCTACATGAAATCTCTTAAAAGTTCATAGCCTAGGAGTCAAGATAGCAAAAGACAAAACAATACTAACAGTTAAATCACAATGAGAGATAAGACAGACGCCTTCAAGCATCTGTAGGTGAGGGCATAGGGAGATGTGGTTACACATGAGACACAGCAGAGAATGATGGTGGGGGATGTTGAGGTCCGAAAGAATATCAGTGTAGTGTGGGAATGTGCTGCTCAGTAGGACCGAAGCCGAGGAATCAGGGCTGGAAGACACCAGAGTTAGAACTTGGGAGGCTCCAGAAACTGGTGGATATTGTTTGTGCCCAGGAACTGGCATTTCATTCCTAAGAATCTAGGGGTCTTTGAATGCTTCTTGAACAGATTAACCACATTATCAAACTTGGACTTCGGAAAAGTTCATGCTGCAGGATGTGTGGAGAATGAATTGAGATAGATAATTAAGAAGCAGTTGCAGTGATTCGGGAGAATAAATGGGACTCTAACTAGGGCAGTAGCAGAGGGGATACAAGGAGGGAGGTGTGGAAGAGGAGAGACTCAGAGCCTGGGGAGGATCTCAGGTACTGTGGCACAGGGGGAAGCGGTGGTACACAGTCCCTCAAGCAAAAGAAGAAAGAGAAGAGACACCGTGTTCACTTGGAGCCTAGTGGACTTGAGGAGCCTGTGAGAGGCCCAAGATGATTTGTCAAGTCATGATTGGACACTGGAGACTGGGCCACTGCATAGATTTGGGAGGCCTATGGTGACAAATGACAGTTAGGTAGACAATACTTTACTCTAAGCTAAGCAGAGTGCTGAAAACAGAACCCAGGAAATGCTCTCTCCCTCTAGCCACTTTGTAGAAGGCTTGAAGAGCAAAGAGACCTGTGGAAGTCTAAGAGGAATCAGAGACCTGGGACTCTGACACCACAGAGTCTGGGAAGTCAGTGACGCTGTCTTCAGCATCGGACTTGGACCATTCATTGTTTGCAGAGCACGTCCCTCATCAGAGCCCCATTTACCCTGACAAAGGCTCAGATAA